GTAACTTGACCCGAACCTGTTATAAGTGCCTGATGGGTGAGGAAGGAGAGGCTAAGGCGGATATTTAGGTACTCCTTTGAGAATTCAGTGCATCGCCGATGTGCTTCTAATCTCCCAGCGCACCAACAGTTTATGGCTTGGAAGGTCAGACTCCAGTAGCTCTTTAGTAAGGTCCTAGGCTTCCCTTGTGCAGTCTGGTTAATGTGTATATGTAAGCGTTTGCACGTGCATGATGCACGCGGATGTTGTTTGTAGCTTCTTTGACCAGCACGCACCTACGCCAATTCCGGTCGCCTGGCTGTTGTATTAACCAATGCATACTCAAATGATTTCTGCCATATTTTCTTTTCAAGGACGAGGTTTTGGAATTTTATGATCGCTGGTAGAAAATACTCGGACTAGCATTCTTTACCCTAATTTAAATAAAGCTAACCTCGACAGAATAAACTTTCCAATTTTCCATCGGCAAAAGTTTCTGATGTTAATTTTTCTTCCTTCCTTCAAATAAAAATGTGCTACTTTCTACGTTAACTAGACTTTCGCTCAGCGGCTCTATGGCCCAGCCTGGTGGATTATTTCCATCTTCGTCGCCTTTTCCTGTTTCGGCGGTATCAATGGTTCTATGATGTCAACCTCACGCATGTTCTTTGTCGCCGGCGAGGAAAATCAGATGCCTCAGATGTTGGCTTTCCTCCACGTTCACAAATTGACACCAATGCCTGCCATTATGTTCACTGTAAGTCTGAGCCTGTCCATAACAAAGAGAAACTTCTCCAACTCTATTATTCTACTGCTTTCCGAGTCCTTTACAAATGTTCTTGTAATTTAGTATTTACGAGTTTGTCGGGGGTTCAAACTGTCTCCTTTCTCGGTGGCCGATATATTCATCTTTACTGATTCTGATACCTTGCTTTAGGTGTGTTCTTTCATAAATGCTTATTCTTTCTCAACCGAGGTTTAGGCGTTTGAGATTGATTGAGTAGGTCCGTGTTCTTTTCTATCACAGTTCAAAATCACTAACTTTATATTCTATACTGAACTGACTGACATATAATCCATTTGGCACAGGCCTTGTAATTGGACTTTTTGGTCACCAATTCGCATTTAAAGCTGCTTGCCTTATTACTTCTTGAAGTGCTGCGAAGCCTTTTTAATGTGTCGGAAGATTTTATCGGGTTCTTGATATTTCATGATGAAGGTATTTTTTTCTCTTTTAGAGCTTCTTTGCACTGATCTATCTTTCCGTCAAAGACCTGTACGTACTGATGAACTACCTGGGTTTCGTGCAGTGGTTAGCAATTGGCCTCTCTGTGCTCATTGTCCTTGTTTGGCGTGTTACTCGTCCCGACGCTATTCGGCCAGTGCGGGTTAGTGCCGAGTTTCTGCATCCGCTATTCTCTTTCTTTACCTCGACAGTTTCTATCTTTTCATTCCTTTTTTAGGCGCCCATAATATTCCCGGTCATTTACGTGTCCTGTAGTGCTTTCCTGCTAATTTTCTCCTTCATTGGAGCCCCGACTGAGTCCCGTAAGTCGCACCCGTTTTTGGCCATTTCTTTATATGTCATATTTCACTCGTTCTTGGGTTTAGAAACTCTTAGTACGTTGCGTACGATCGTGCTTCCCGAATTCTTAACAAATGACATTTCTTGATACAAATAGAGAAAATAAAACGTAAACTTCCGTTAATCTCCCTTTTCGGAGTAAATATCCGCTAGAAAATTGTTCGGATTTCCTTATCCATGGACGCGTTCATGACCATATTGGGTGTACCGTTAGAATGTCGATGCGCGTTCATGTTTTACAAATAATTACCTGGATTTCTTTTGTTATTTGTCTCGGCTATAAGCCGGACTGAATAATTAGGGCTAGAGCTGTCAGTCACCAACATATCCAAGGTCCTACCCAGGTTTTATTTTTTTGCTGCTACAGGGGCCTTTTGTGACCTCCAGTTTACTAGGATCGCCTTATAGTACCGTTCATGTTACCCTTCGTGCACGATGTGTCCATATCAGTTTGGAAATCATTTTATGTAATCATCATATTGCCTCATATACCTCTGCTGCCGTTCTTTTATTTGATGGTTCGTAAAGGCTCGCTTTATGGCATATTGTTTCCTTATTGTAGTTTGCGGTTGCGCCATCATTTTGACGGCCATCCCAGTTTATCTTCTGGGAGTCGTATGGTCTCCAAAGCCGAGGTGTATACAGGACAAATTAGGTATGTCTCCAATTTGTATTTGTCTTCCGGTGTGTTATCCGATTTTTCACGAATAGAGTAGGTTCAATTTGATGAATATCCTGCGAAATGGCAGTGCTCTCAGCTTTGACATTATTCCTTTACGTGTTGAATGCCAGAACCCATTGTAACCGTAGTCTGTCAAGATCCCTACTGGACTTTCACAAATGAAGCTCTTCTGGCTGTCTGAGCAGATGGGGGTAGGCGTTTAGTGAGTAGTGGAACCTATTGAATCGGGGAGATACAGCGGGAGGGCGAAAAAACAGTCCGACATGGCAAAAACTATTCCGGAACCTGGGTGCGTCCACGCCAGCAAACCGTAGTGCTGTTAGGCCCCTATGTAGACTGAGACTTAGCTGGAAACATCGATAAACTACAAAGAGTATGATTTAATCATTCGAAGAAATAATCCGATGGACCAGAGATGCTCCACTTGTTTGCGATTGCCAGTCTGATCAATAAGTTCCAAAAGGGGTCCTTCCTTCAAAAGAGAACAGTGTAATCGCTGGCCAGTCGAGCAGCATGCTCAGAGTAGCCCGCTATAAATGCTACTCAGTGTCTGACTTGCCTCATCCTAGGAGTGCAATTGGAGCGCTATAACTGAAATATCTTTTCAGATGGTTTCGCTAACGCATCATTTCCAGATTGAGCCATTTACCACATAGATCTCGGCTCTCTTGTGGGTAACCGGTCCTCCTAAGGAGCCAAATGAAGCCCGCTTTCGATGTTTCAAGATCAGCCGATCTTGACTATACGCACAGTCAAGAATAGGAAATAAGTCCAGCAAGGACTGAAACACATCCACCGGAGCCTGGTATGTATCGATGTG